CACATCGCGTCTATCTATAAGCGAGCTGCACGCTGCACAGCTGACACAAGAATTGTCACTTGCACTATCGAGGCAGTGTCACATCGTCACTAAAGTTTATAAATTGCATTACTTTTTAATTCTTGCCAGTGTTTAACCATTCAGCGCCCGCGCGCTCTCCTGGAGACTGTGTGCTCATGCACACTCGCAGCGCACACACATTACGCCAGGTTCACATTACTCCGTTTGCAGTGCGTATGCGGTGCGTATTTTTTCCGCGCTCATGTTAACAGATTAATAAAGTGTGCACAATGCACACGGTTGCTCTCCGGCAGTGCGTTCAGGAGCGGTGCGTCTGCAGCAGTGCAGAGATCAGCCACGGATCAGGAGCGGTCTCCTGTGTGAAAGCTGCTTCTCTCACAAGAGTCACCTAATGCCCGGTTCAGACTACACGATTTTAGCTCGATTTTGCCACGATTTGCTTGACGTAGGGTGTCGTGGGGATTCGTAAATTACCGACGCGACGCTCGCATTCAGCGTGATCAAGTGTCAGCCGTTAGCGACTGAACGCCAGTGGCCTATGCTGAGAAGAAGACTATTGGTCGATGTATAGCTCTGGAGGCGTGTTCATGCAAACGACTGGTGCTAGGTGACGTCACCTTGCACATCAGATCCAAACAAGCCGTTTCTGGAGCTCGATTAAAAAAATGCTTTGTTTATAACGAGGAGGACGTATTAAGCTATGAAACTTGCAGGATGTTTTAATGGTACAAAGACCTCTTAGATGCCAAAAGATCAAGGCAAATTTGATTTCCCATGTCATGACCCCTTTAAGAAGGACGGGGAGATCACATCTAATCTTCCAAGAGATTGATCGTAATCAGCAGCTGAAAACCTGATGTTATGATAGACCTGCATGTTGTTTAAATAGCAGCGGGTTTTGAAGCAACACTAATGTCTACGGCAGAGACAGTTCCACAAAAACAAAACATGTTATATAGGTGATGCTTATTGAAAATACAGTGGTTACCCCCGTGCACAGAATTAAAAAAAACACCACTTTTAGGCTTATTACAGGGGTAGGATGGAAAGAAAATGCCATCAAAGACTTGTGTGAAGACGGTTTGTTCTTCTTCGAATCATTTGCACAAATCATGTGAATGGAGTATTTCAATGTAAGAACGATGAATTTCACCCAAAGGTGACAAGTTTGCATGTATGATGTCACAACAGAGAAGAAACATCACTCGCAATTTCCGTTTCATGTGGATTGTAGAGATGCAGTAACAGTGAAAGTGCACTGCGCTAGAGGTGTGGAAGTGTTGCCTCATACGTGAAAATACATGATGAAACAAGTGAATGCAGAACTATAGCTGTGCAATTACCACTAATAATCAGAATGGATATTTCTTCACTTAATGACCATAATTTATGGCAAATCACCACACACTGATATATGCTTCCAGAGCAGGTTCCTGGATTTAGAACGCAATTTCTCTAGACTGAAAATGATTTAACAAAATTAATTATTGCAAATGATTTAAGAAATAACTTTCTTAAAGAGACAGTTCACCCAAAAATTTAAATTCTGTCACCGTTTACTAACTTTCAATTTGCTCCAAACCTGTATGAACTTCTTATAACTTTTACAAATATCTTTCATAAAAGAAGACATGGATAACCAAACAGTTGCTGGTCCACATTGACCTCCACAGTGTGTGTGTGTGGGTAAACATTACATTTACATTTAATTAGCAGATGCTTTTATCCAAAGCGACTTACAAATGAGGACAATAGAAGCAATCAAAACCAACAAAAGAGCAATGACATGTAATAATATGTTACCCTGCTGCACAAAAGCAGTCTTAAGTCACTGGGGGATATTTGTAGCAATAGCCAACAATAAATACATTGTTTGGGTCAAAATTATACATTTCTCTTTTATGCCAAAAATCATTAGGATATTAAGTAAAGATCATGTTCCATGAAGATATTTAGTAAATTTCCTACCGTAAATATATCAAAACTTAATTTTTGATTAGTAATATGCATTGCTAAGAACTTCATTTGGACAACTTTAAAGATGATTTTCTCAATATTTAGATGTTTTTGCACCCTCCAGATTTTCAAACAGTTGTATCTCGGCCAAATATTGTCCTATCCTAACAAACCATACATCAATGGAAAGCTTATTTATTCAGCTTTCAGATCATGTATAAATCTCAATTTCAATAAATTGACCCTTATGACTGGTTTTGTGCTCCAGGGTCACATGTTTTTTTTTCCCAATGGAAGTCAATGGAGACCAACATTCAAAATATCTTCTTTTGTGTTCAGCTGAAGAAAGAAACTCATACAGGTTTGGAAGAACATGAGGACGAGTAAATGATGACAGAATTTTCATCCGGGCTGAACTATCCCTTTAATACATGGGTTTGATCTGTGTATACGAGAGACCATATGTCAGGCATGCACTAGCATTTATTATAACAACATGGATACAACTATGTGTGTTATATGGTACTAAAATATGATGCAGTATCACACAATCACAATATAAAAGCCTGAAATAGAAACCCTAAGTCTGTCCTAATCTGTGTGGGTCCCACCCTACACTTTGTGCCGCTTTTACTGCATGCTTTAGAAGAAAGAGGAGAAGAAATGGTTGCACAAGACGATTCACAGCGGGACGGTTGCAGATCCACCCTGACCTGAATCAAACACACATGTGTGTCACACATCTCACAGGATGTCTGGGCTCACTACACACTTCTTTAAAGATCCGATGTTTCTGTGAAGCACGCTCTGACCTTCATGAGGAAGTGAGCTCCACCCAAAGACTGTGTCAAAGACCAAAACCACACTCGTAGGTTTCATTAGCAAGCTATTTATCGCACCAGAGCAGAAGACTGATCCGGACCAGAACCACTGCACTTCTGCACGCTCCCGAGCCACAGAACCATCATGTGACACAAAATCACTGCAATCAAAATACACTCCAAGTTTGAATTTGGAAAAAATAAATAAACAAGACGAGCAATGATCAGCACAAACCTTGTAAACCTGTCCATAGGTCCCATTGCCGACCACCTCGATGAGCTCGAAGATCCCGGCGGGATCCTGAAATCAAGAGAAACACTGAGCTTCAGGGGCCCCTGACACTGGCATCTCACTAGAGACTAATCAAGCTTTGCACATCTCAGGACTGTACATCTGTATATAACTCATTAAAACATTTCATCTGTTAATAGCACATTCACAATTCTGTCTGTTGACATTTTCACAGTTACAATATTGTTATTTTTTATTTATTGTCTATTCTTTTTATCCACATGAAAAAATACTATAGTAATTTACAGTAAATACTAGTGTTTTTGAACCATACTATAGAAAAGTGTATTATACTGTATATATTGTAGTATTTACAACACTTTGTTAATGAATGCTACTGTAGTATTAACTATAGTGAACTGATAAACTGTAATAAATACTAGTGGTTGACCGATATGTCGGCCGATATTTGGCATTTTTTAAATATCGGCATCAGCCGATAAGTTTTCCTGTTTGGCCGATGCGTTCGAGGCGGGACTTTTATTTTGACGGCGGCAGCGCCTGAGCACAGCGCTCACATTCTCCCTCTTGTTCGCTGTCGTCATTAACAGTTCTGTCTAATACGGATAGAAGTCCGTCTAATAATCAGATAGAACGGTTAAACAAAAGAATTAAAATGTATACAAAAAGTATTATAACGATTGCTTTTATATT